AGAGGTGGTCTGTTCTTGCAAGTGGATACGAGTTAGGGGTTAGAGCAGTGGAGGGGGGTAGGGGAAACAGAGAGCGCAGAAGAAAGAGGAGAACTAAGGAAAGAGGAAGAATCCCCCGGAGGAATTTAACGCATGGATGAAGCCGTACCATCGTGGAAGGGATACGTAGCTCTGCGTGTGTATACCTGTCTTTCTATGTATAACGTAAAGTAAATAAGGTTTCTCTTTCTCTTTCTCTCTCTCTCTCTCTCTTTCAAGTTCGTCTTCCTTCCCGCTTTATCTCCAAATGTTCCTCTGTTGGTTCCTCTGTCTTGCCACGGCCAGAGGCAAGTTTTGAAACTTTTAAGCGGATTTCGTCTCGCCAGTATAAGGACGTATATACTCGTCAATCTTGCCCTCGTGTAAAATTGGGCATTCTTCCCTGGCATGGCGTATTGTACCAGCGCTACGTGATTGGCTACGTGGCAGCACGCGAATGCATCCAGGTGCACGCGCTTGGACAAGATATATATATATGTGTGTGTGTGTATGTACCTACTTGGGCTGGTCTGGCATCGACGACTTAATGCTACGAGCGTTCCCTCGGCCGAGCTTTCGAGATTCGACGATGCTCTTACGCGGAAGAATGCGCGGCATTATTTAGTTATTGCTGCATAAGCTGTTAGAGGTGCTGGATTGAATAATGGATCAGGTCAGAAAAGACAAAATGTAATATTTGTGGTTTTTTTTCTTTAGTGATTATTATTATTAAGTGGTTAAGGTTTGTTTTTATATGAGCTTCATTTATATAAACGAAATTTTATTAATGTGCTTTTTATGATACAATTGGAAATATATAATTTGCGTCTTATAAAATAATATGATGATACAAAAATAAAAGAATTAATTGGTTTATGAAATAAATAATTATTATTATTTATTTTGGATATATTTATTATTATTATTGGAAAATTGTCCCAAATTTATAATATTTTATAATTCGTTATATATTTTAGAGAAAATCCTTTCGTATAAACACCAATTATTAATTGTTGAGAAATTAATTAAATGAGAATTAGTTGGTGAATAGAATTTAAATAGATTATGTTTGTCTTTTGTTAAATTTATACGAAAATTTCCAAAATGAAATTCTGATATATCTCGAATTAAATTCGCTTTCTTTTTTTGCAATAGTTATAAAAAAACATTCATCAATAGAAAATATACTAGAAAAATTTATGGTTTACGTTCCATACAGCAATCTGTGTTTATTCTCTTTTTCTCTCTCTTTTTTTTAAGCTATTGCTTCATATAAAAAATCATAAAGAAAGAAAGAGGATAAGCGTTACACCGCAAAATTTTCAGGATTTTCTTTTCAATTTCTAATGAAAAGTTTTGCGGCGGATATTCATTCATAACACAGATTTCGCGCCTTGATCTCGAATCCGGATCTATGGAGAATGAAGGTTGTTGTAACAGTTGGTCGATCAATTGGACGCTCGGTTTCCCACAGATTCTCTGATCCTTCAGAAGTGCGAATCCAGCTTTGCTATATCCAGCTTTGCCGCCACACTATTATGTGCGTAAACATGTACGCGGTTTAGTAGCGCCACCACATGACAAATGAGCGCGTGAAAGGGAACACAGAGAACTTGAGATGAGAGATAAGAAATAAAAAGCGAAACAAAATGTCGAGAAACAAAGAAAACAAAATGGTGGAAAGGCATGAATTTAATCCAAAAAAAAAAAAAAAAAAAAAA